AGGCAATTTATATTTGTAGAAAGTGGAGATAAATGTTTATTTAGCTTCTGCAGAGGTAATATTGTCTAATTTGAAGCAACTGTGAAAGTTACGAAAATTTTGATAACTTTTCTGTTAGATATCGTCTGGTAAGTCAGTGACTGGATCGTAAATATTCATATCTGTGACATCACTGTATCTTGTTCAATGAACTTAGGGTTTGTTTACATTCATTTATACCCGGTGAAAGTGAGCATTTGGGGGATTCTTACTCATTTATTCACAGTTATAGCACACATTTATCGTTAGGAATGTCATGAAGATTGATTCCAGCCATTTATGTGATGTTTTCCTGTGTGATTTTAGAGAGATTTACATGTAGATAAAACTATCGCCATATGAAACGTTCTTCTGTGACTTTTTACAAATGTGGGCGTGGCATATTTACTAGCGCGTATTTTGACTTCGTACTGGGCGCTACCCATAGGGTATAAATAGGACAGAATTTTGCTAATTAAGGGATTTTGAATTGGATTTGCTGAATGTTGGCCGAAGGGTATTATTGTACTGTTCATTTCTGATGTGGTAGGTTGTGCTTTGGGGAGCAAGTTAGCCTGAACAAAGTGGATGTAAGTGAACCAAGTACTGGGGAGCTAAGCCACATTGATTTGCTCCTTTATTTGTACAGTGAGCAGCAAGGATAAATAATTTAAGTATTCATTGGGAGCGCTGCATTGCTTGAGCATTGGGGAGCCAAATTAAAGGTTTTTATAGAGGGCTCTGCATTGTTTGTGCATTGAGGAGCCAAGCTTAAGGATTTCGTTTTTGAGTGGAGTACGTTGTACTGGGAGCTGTGGTATTGAGTTATAAGCAGACAGTAGAGATATAGTGAGTGTTTATAAAGTTTTCTCACAAAACTACTGGGTTCTTGAGAGGAGATTTAGTGGAATCAGGCTGACGAGTCTGTTTTCCCAAGCACTTTGAGGAAAGCCTGGGGCCTATTTAGTATTTTCAAGGAAGGTCTGGGACCTTAGGGAATTCCTCTTGAAAGCAGACAGGTTAAACGATACCTGGTGTGGCTGTACAAGTTGATAATCCTAGACAGGTTTAAACGATACCTAGTCTTGGTTGTGCCAGTTGAGGAGACAGGTTTAAATGATACCTCGTCTCCACTCTGAAAGCAAGTGGACAGGTTTAAACAATACCTTGCTCCATATTTGTTTTCTACCATACTGTCTGTAAGTTATACTCTTTCCCTTACTCCCCAGGTCTTATCCAAATGCCAGTCAACCCTGGGTTGGAAATAAGCGAGGATTGAATACAGACATTTACTGGATTGTACCAGGAGATGTTCATACTGGAGTGTAAATACATGTACAGAGTGTAATACCCAACCCCATTTACTATTGTTGCGGATACAGTTTTGTTCTGTACAACTGGATTCCTGTCACAATTTATGTTAGTCCCTCCCCTTTTACGGTGACTGCTTCTCGGTAACTTCCATCATATAGTTTGACCCGAACCCACATCGGCCAACGCGAAGTGCTAAACCGGAGAGGCGAAACTCCGTAGGTTTAGGCCTGAACCATTTTGCCTGGTGGCAGTGCTATCGCAGATTTTGAAGAGGTTTCCCAAATTCCCCCTCCCCCTGTAATTTCCAATCGGCCCCAGGCCCACGCCCCGCCCCCTCTCGCCCGCCCGGAGCAGAGACGGGGCGAATATTTCGCCACATATATATTACGTTTTTGTTCTATATATTTTACATTTTGCTGTATATCACAACTGACCTGGCGTCGAGGTGGGGGCGTTTCGTTCTATTTATTAATTTCGTTTATTACTTTCATCCTAAATGTTTATAAGTTTCGTTCTCTATATAGAGGCCTATATTATTATTTTAGACACTACAGCCCATACGGTCCATATCCTGTATTTATTCTCCTCCAAAGTGACTCAAGCCCTTTCTTAAAAGTTGCCAAAACTCTAGTATTTACAACTTCCCGAAGGAGAGCATTCAATGTATTAATGACTCGTTGGGAGAAGAAATATATCTTACAACTACATTTCTGGTTAGAAGATCTGTATTGAAGAGTGTGACTTCTAGTGCCTCTTGTATCGGTTACCATTAGAACATTTGTCAATTATTGTACAATTTATTTAGAATCGATCGTTTTTATCCTTGTGCCGCTTCTTATGACATCGGACTTCATTATCCAATATTCGTGTGGCTACAACGATTTGAATGCCGTGCGTGTCTTGAATCTTCTGTAGAGGGTCTTCAACAACATGCAAACACACGGAAACGATTCACACTAGAATGAGGATCTGAATTGAACAAGGTTCAAAGGTCAAATAGTTCAAAAGGACTGATGTTACAGAAGTAAGGTGAGAATCGTGTTACACGATACTGCACCAAGGTTAGCAAGAAATGTTGGCTCGATCATCATACAATTGGGGCAAAAGTGGTAGAACAAAAACATGTTTTCCTCGAACTTCGCTGATTCCTATCAACTTTTCTTTTCAAGACAGTCAAGATGGGTCTCTACAATATGTACATGTTGAAAGCGTCAAATAACACCTAATAATACAATTTTTCTGCCCTCATTTATGAAAAAGTTGGCAAAACTATTTTCAAACAGCGCAAAATTGAGGAAAACTAGTTCTCTAGAAAGTATATGTAAACTTTTTGCCCCAACTGTACGCTCATCTTGTGATGAGTAAGGCGTAGCGCAAAGTGTGCTATTTCGCTAAAAGGCAGTGTCAACTATCGAAGGCAAAATTGTACCTCTGATTAATGGCACACGGAAAGCCCAATTTGAAAACCAAAGGGAAAAAACAGAAAGCAAAAACAATTCAAAGCCAAACCAACATTTATTCACGCAAACCGCGGGCTACAGACTTTAACCTTTAATATTTCGTATAGCGCCCTCTTTTTCCAGCCACTTGTTTTCGGCACGGACATAATGTAAACCACAGAGACGACGTCAGGATTTCTGGGGCCTCAACGGTACCCGACCAACTATCGCTAATGGGCGAATAGAGGGAGGCCTTTTATTCAGCTTAGTATTTCTGACGAATATCTTGAACATGCGATGAATATTTTACGCATGATTTGGGTACTAAACTAAAAATAATTGTCACATTTTTAGGTAAATTTTCAGGTAAGCGTGAGGGTTAGTTGAGAACCTGCACCTTAATCAATCGCGTTATGCACGCAACGACCGTGCCTAAATTCCTGGTTTCTTTCTCATAATTCATTTTGTTCCTATCGGCAGTTTACACCTTTAGTGCGTGGTGCATGATCCTTTTCGGTGCATTAGTGATAACAGTTCTAGGTGTGGAAGATTACATAAAAGCCTTCAAAAGTCTTGTCAAGCCAGTGACCATTGTTAGTCTTCGGCAGTCAATTTAATCAGAGATCTTGGTAGGATAGATGTGGCTTTAAACTCCCGAACAGAGGATTATCATTGCTGACAGGCTTCCAAATATGCATCTTTGTTTGCCGGTATTTACTCAGTACACGGCAATGATTATGAAAATTCTCCTTGTGGTGCTTTATGTACTATAACACTTACCAATTATTGATGGCAGAATTTTATGCACACCTGATGGTTTTAGACCAATTTATCAGGAGCTAATCTGGAGGGGATGACCCAACCTTCCGTTCTGACAACCCCTTCCCCCCAGAAAAGAAATTTGAAAAAAACTGTTAATCACAGAAATATATATTTTTTGTAGGTGATATCCTACTTACTGTATGTGTTAAAGGGTAAGTGCATCAATAACAACGTAATACATTATCTATGTGTCCGCATGTCCCCAATGAATTGGACATTAAAAAATCTGACGGGCCTGACCATCTCCCTCTTCCCCCGTGAACAGTTCCTGGATTTCGTCCCTGTGTTTATATGAACATGAACTGTAAATCACTTCAACAGATGGTACGGAGAATAATAAAAAACCCAATTTGATGAGAGAAGCTTATTTTGGGATATCTAAGAACAGGGCTTTTCTCATTTGGAAGTGAATTAAGATATCAACTGGTCACTTGGTCGTAGCTAAGCGCTTCTTCATTTCGTCCCAACATGTCCCTGTAACTAGCCCAATCTCCCCACACAAGAGGAAGTTAGGCTTACACTTCCTTCCACATGGAATTGTTCCATGGATATTGTAGATTTATCGCGAAGAGCAATCGAGAGGGCTGCTCCATGCACGTCAACAGAGTGTTCTTACGATGCCTATATAGTATGTGCCTCGCAAATTGTGATCCGTTTAGCAGCATTCCCTTCACTTCCTAGTCCGTCATGTCTTCAATATTTAATGGGTGATATGCCATATGTAGTAATTATGTCAGGTGGTATTTCATGCCCTGCATTAGAAACATCACGTCACCCTAGGATCAAGATGCACCTGTGGTCGACTCGTCTCTGAGACACCTTCGAGTATTAATTCAAAACACGAACGATGTCTGGGTGATGAGCGAAGAAAAAAAGAGTCGTAATGAATGCAAGGGTGCATAATTGTTAAATGTCTTCAACTTCTGCGAATTTTTAACTCGAATGCATAAAGTTGTCTTCTATCCTAGTTTGTGCCGCACTGAAACTTCTTTATGCAAATTGGGGAAATGTGCTTTGTTTGTGGAGTAGAGTTAATCTTGTCTCGAGTGATTAAATCTTAGTTTTTCCAATGAGCGCCAATTCATACTCTGCAAGTGCTCGTCAGTATTATTCGAAAATAACGACTGTACAATACTTTGAACAAAACGACTTAAGTGGACTTCTCCGAGGTTTTGTTAACCTTCACGCATCTACTTTGAAAAATAACAACATCTGAATTGGGTATTGAGACATGGATAAAATAATTCCACTGTCCTCTTCATAATCTATTCAGTTCAACCATGCAAAAAAGTCAAAGCTCTGCTACGCGATGAAGAGGTGCTAGCAAAGGACAAAGCGCAAACCTGTGGTACATTTGGACTACCATTTATGGCTATTACGACGAAACTGAGGTTCACAAAGGCCATCTTTATGTTGTAAACCTGTCCATAAACAGTCATTTATTGTCATCTAATGTGCACATGTTTCAGTGGCATCAGGTTCGGTTAAGAATAGAACATGGAATGTACATAAAAAAATTGCATTCTTTCCAAGGCGAATCTTTTTTATAGTCTACACAGGATACGGAAGTGAATGTGGGATAAAATATTTGAAATAAAGTAAAAGTGAGTATAGTTGGTAAAGTCGTTAAGTTCTCATCTCTTTTGAAGACAGCAAAAGTAATTCTCTTCTATAGAATTAAAATATTAGAAATACAATAGATATCTTGCAACTCTCCTGGTAACGAATGAAAGATTCTTAAGTGAACTTTGTAACCCCATTTAGGCTACCTTTGTTTGTTATCAGAATTTAAAAGGAGTCGTGTTTTGGAAAATGACATACCTAGTATGATCACTTAATGAAGCTTAATCATACGTTTGTTAATTTTTAAAGACCCGATCAAGTGAATGTAAACCGTGAATTACATACGCTAGTTTTGCAGACCAAACACCGAGTTGCTATTTTCCTGGAAGCATTGATAAGCATACCTTCTCCATACTATGATTTTTTTAAGAATTCTGTGTCTCTTTCCCAAAACGTAATATCAAGTTCAATGAATGCAACTATAACATACCAATGAGCCTTGACCTCGCTACAAGCTAAACAGTTATATGCAAGTCCTTATCAAATGAGAGAATGAAGGAAACATGTTCTTAGCTCAAAAGACTCGAACGTGAATTGTTTAAACTTCTTGTCAGACACGACAAATCTAGGGGTGTTAATCTCATTCAAAGAGTTGGAAATGTTTGAGGAAGCCTACTTAGAGAACTCTGACAATGGCCAATATCTTCAAGATTTTCTAAAATGTTATCATCAACTAATCGGAAGGAATGCAATTTTACCGACAAACACCATCATAAAAAAATATGGAATTGCAAACCCAATCAGATTAAAGAAAGTAACTGTTAACAATAAATATTAAACTCTGTTTCCGTAAACTTAGGCTCTCAGTAGAAATACAAATACATAGTAGGAAAAAAATGAAACTGATAATTTGATTACGCTATCTCTTCTGAAAGTGTCATTGTAAAACAGGAAACTCCTCGTGCGTTTGTGAGGTGCAACATTAGGTCCTTTTGCGGTGAAACATCTATTGAGTACACGCAAACTATTCATAACACTGACTTAGAAAGTACAGTTCGGATTCAAAATCAGTAACGACAGCAAATGTTATGAGCAATAGAAAATATCAGCATAGACGCACTGAAAAAATTGTTTAGCCTTAAACATATTTATATGCTAGACGTGTTTAAACAATTTTGATGAATAGTGTTTCCCCATCGGACATTGGTGTTTAGGGAATCGGACGCCAAATGTTTAGCATATAAACATGTTTACAAAGTGATGGCAAAATTGTGTTCAGTAGCTACATACAGGTTTTGAGAGTGCAAATCATGCCAGTTTGTTTACTTTTGAAAGATAACTGTGTGCACATGCAAACTAACCAGTTTTGAACAACATCGCTAAACCATGTTATGGAGGTTGGGAGTTTGCATAACCACCGGCATTTTGCATAATGACGATGTATTATTTTGTAGAGTTCTCTTCAAATTGTTCGAGTTAAAATCCAAGCTACGATGGCCAATTAATATTTTGATGTAATTTGATAACTGTATATATCTTATCTTTACATCCTCAATTTGTGTACAAGATATATTGGATCTACAGGTCAATGAAAGAGGGACAAACCATCATTTGTAGCGAATGTTGTTTTTTTGTAATTTTAGATCAAAATCTATCCGTATAATAAAATTAGGTATGGAAAACTAACCGTTTATGTGGATTGTTTTCCCACTTGCACAGTGTATCAGCCCTTTAGAAACAAACTAAGCAACTGTCGTCATACATACGTTGACATGATCAGATATCTGTATCTTTAAAATATATCAAAGAGTGAAGACAAAGTTTCTCTTTACCATTATCCGAAAGACACAAGTAGTGTAGTAAGTCATCTCAATTACAGTGCTGTACACGAGTCAATATAAACAATTTTCATTATTACATTCGCACAAGCGCAAATGTCAACTCCATTTTATTCCTCCCACAAGGCACTTGCCCATAACATGAATATTACACAAAGAGTAATTGTAGGCATTTTCTACAATAAGTGACATACATTAATTCAAATATTATAATTGTACTTGCAACACTAATAAATCGCACGTTTGAATAGTTTATTTGGAAAGATTTGTGGATATTCATAAATATCTTGAGGAGAATAAAGAGGCAGTATCTACAAAACACATATACAGTCTTCTATTTAATGGTAGGTCAACCCCAAGTCAATCACAATTCAGTTCAAAAGTCTGTTCACAAATACTAAAGCAATAGAGGATTGCTATGACAAAGGTACGTTATCCCTTTGCCATGCGAAGTTCATTCAAATAGATTGATTTACTCATGACTGAATAACGACTGTGCGATGGACGTGGCAGACTCTATCACAGCGTAGCGGTACGGTATGTAAGCAGTGTCAAACGTTAATTTGAAAATTAAGCGACTCACACATTTACATACTGCGTTGATAGATTCGATTAAAATATTACAAGAAAATTACACTGGACATTATAAATGGAGAATTTCTTGATATTTTAACATTATCTTTTCCCAAACGAGTTAGCGGGTACTTACTAGAGCAAAATGCGTAATTCACCCTCTCTTAACGAATACTATTAGCTACAAGAATATTAGCTACGAGAGGTGCATTGCCCACGTCTGGAATAACTGGTTTAGGATATCATGTATCATGTTTTTATAAATTTGAATTTAAAAAAACATGAAAAATATATATTAACAAGGAACAATAAAGTAAATCGTGATTTGAACTTCAAACAAAAACAAAGCTAGTGATACAAAGTCGAAATCAAACTCACCATTTTGAATTGTATAAATCAGTTCATTGAATATTATGATGTAAGTGTCAGACTGACCAAGAAAATAGTTACCTGGGAAAGATATAAACAAGCACTGTAGGTATATTCTGAAGAATTCTTCAAGACAAAGTTATAACTTATATTTCTAGCGTGTTTATCCTTGCTTCTTAGGCCAATTGCATTTTTGCATGCAGTTGTGCACTAGACTAACACGGTGAATAAAATACTGCAATCGTGATTTATACGACGTATTTGCGTTACATTTGCATACCTCATTACATTAATTCAAATAATAGCTTGTAAGCAGCCGATAACGCATGGCCGCGCAGCGATGAGTTAAAAAGTTTAATAAGAGATGTAAGTCCTTCTTATACCGGCAGGTTGTAAGTCAGTAAAGAAATGATTTCAATTGAATTCAAAAGCAAAGATACACGATATGAAAGACAAAACTCTGTAAAAATACGAAATGGTTAGATTTTCTATCTTCAAGATTCAAGGGCCGGTATATTTGCTCTCCTATTTCCATCTTAAAAGCAGACATCTTGAAGGCAGCACTGTACACTTGATATTTGGACATTGTTCAAGACGGGCCAGTGTACATGGTTTGACGTTGCTGTGTTGCCGAGAAATTTTTGTTTGAAAAAAATAATAAATAAAATACAGCTATGTATTTAACAGCGGCGCACTGACTCCAGCAACGACATGCGTGCTGTGCCCAAGCTTGGTATGGCGTCATTCAAGTGATAACAACAACAGATGCCAAGATTACAGTTGACAATGAGGCGCCGAAAGGTTTCCATGACATTAATAAAATGTGGATACAAGTTAAATAAAAACAGCATTCAATACAAAAAATATCATTTTTTATGTGTATATTATTTTAATGAAAATGGAACTAATTACACGAAAAAAGGGTAGAGCCGAAAAACGAATCAGACATCAGAAGAGAATCACACAAATAAATTTCAAAATAATGGTATGCATTGAATAGTTACTTTGTAGGATTTTTCCTGGTCTTCCCTGAAGTTCTTTTCTCTATAGAGTTGATCAATTCCGTCATCCAAAACTACCTTAGTTTACTTCTTCACAATAGCAAACTGGCTAAGCATGCAGTTGAATTAGATTGCAGGACACCCAAGCTGAATGAACCAGGAAGGCTCGGTAAAAATCATGAACGTCATTCGAAAGTTAGGACTCCCTAATTAAATCGAACCCTCAGCTGTCATTCAAACAAATCACTCTGTCATGCATTATTTAGAGAGAGACCCTTTCCTAGAGTCGTTTTGTAATTTACATTTTGAGGGCCATCGTGTTATGATCTGGTTTTGGTCCACTGAGCTTCGAAATGAAAGAAAAGAAAAGTCACGCTAGGAACTAGGACATTTTATCCGTGAATGTTTGAGTAATATGAATCCCACAAGATATTTCTCTTGTCATCCAACAGGAAATTCCGACAAATTATTTCATTGACCGCTCCGCGTGGACAAAAATTACATTCTGGGGAATGGATAAAGTCACATCCTGAACAGGTTTAGACAAGTTCAGTGAGAGGTCTCCAAAAGTCACAAAGTTTGCACGTTAACACTCTAGCAGTTCTACATATAAAACTCGTCCGTGTACACCACCTACATAATCATTTTATTGCTTTAGTCATCCACCATTCCCAAAAATAGTTTCGTGCAACTTTAACTTCTCTCAGTACCTTTGCAGTTGTTCATTGTGCTCGTTAAAAGATTCAAAAGATAAAGTTTCATCATTGTGTGGTAACACTTTCTTCCTTTCGATTTCATTGCACTTTGTTTGATACATGATGAAATTAATTACTGATTTCAACAATCGTTATAAGGCGTAAATTGATACCAGTTGCGTTTTAACTTACTTTTTCATTAAAAAATAAAAGGCGTGTCTGCGGTCATACCGCGCAAGCAACTGCACATCACTCCAGTCTTCATATTCACAACATGGGCACGAGGTATCATTGCATATAGGTCCACTCAGTAGAACTTTTATGATTACAATATTACAAATTTAGTGACGTCATTATAGTGAAAATTATTAGTGTAACTATCACACACTACATACAACAACAGTGTCGTGAGATAATTAAAACTGTGGCACATGTGCATCTGGGCTGGGTGGGGACTCGATGTCAGTGAAGGATTCACGCTGGAGGTCTGGATCAAGAAGAGCCAAAATGTTAGTGCTTTCAACGGGGGGAGGACCTCTTGTGTCCGGAGGAGACGTCGGCGTACCCGTTCGCCGAGCCTCGCTAGAGCTCGAATGCCTTGACCCAGCAGAACTCCTCGAACCATTAGAGTTCCTCCTGTCAGCTGATCTTTTCTTCTCGTTACTTGTCCCTGAGGACCCCGAGCCAGTCACTGATTTGGAGCCCAAGCCCGATGCTGGAGGACTAGACACAGTAAAAGTGTCTGCGTGCTCACGTACTTTTACGGTGATTGGGGACTTCTGTGGCGAGGCAATGGCCACTTCATTCATCGAGCTTACGCGAGAGCTGTTTGAACTTGGTACACTGGATGAATAAGGAGATGATTCCGGGGAAAAGAACTTGATGATATCTCCTATCTGCTCGTCGAGTCTATTCATCTTGACGCTGAGATGCTCAATTTCCTCCTTAAGTTCCAGTTTTATTTCCATTAAACTCGTCAGAAGCTGTTGGTCAGTGGATGACGTACTCATTGAGCTTGTACCTTCCTTGCTATCATGGCGGCCTATTTCATCTAGCTTCTGGTCACTACGCAATATCCCACTATCTGTCGATTCTGTCTTGCGGAGCTGGTTGGGGTTTTTTAGAGCTCCCCATTTGGACGCTGGTTTAGCAGTCTGCGCAGGAGCTGCTTCCTTCGGAGCGGTCGGCCTGTGTTTCGCAGTTCTGTTCATCTTAGAAGTGTCATTACTTTCAGGCACTCTTGTTAGCATGGGCCCTTTCATCCTGGCCAGAACTGACAGCGAGCCTATATCATTCTCCCCTTTCTCCACGTCATTTCCTGCTCCGGCAGTTCGCTTCTCTGGCACGTCACTCAGCTTACGGAACTTGTTGAGCATTTTTCGCACAGGATGATCTGCTGGGATGGGTGGTTCATTTTTTCGTTTCTCGGCCTCTGCCTGTTCCCGTTTAACATCCGCTACCTTCCGAAACACCAACTGTTAAAAAAGTAAGAGAGAATTGAGCTCAGCCAGATCCACAGTGGCCTTAGGTACTTGATCATTCGCATTTGGTTCGAAAGCGTGACAGTGATTTCATGTTTTCTCCCTTTCTTCAAGTGCTGGGATTAAAGGCTAGTGCGCAAGTTGTCGAGTTTTCTTGTTAGCAACATTAAAGAGGGCATAAATTCTGATCAATTTGATAGACTGTCACCATAAACTTCGTCACAAACAAACGGAGTATGATATTCATAACAGATAAAGGTAATAGAAGCAACATTTCTGCAATCATACTGAGGATAAAAAGTTAAACTATATGTGTCATTACGAGGGTATAGCTTTTTCAACCTTGTTTTTGTATTATGACATCTCACCCACAAACTCTTGATTGCAAGTCACGGGGCATTCGCTGTTTTTGCTATTTGCATAAAACGACAAATTTCTATACCCCTTGAGCCTGTGAAGCTAGTTTTACACCACCATGAGATGAAGCAGTCAACATTTGTATATTCTGCCGTTGACGTTATTCTGGGTATATGAAGACTGCTTTTGACATTTTTATCTACCCATTATAGTTTGAACTCTTGGGCTCCAAGTCACTGAATATGCCAAAATGTTGACCTGCTTACAAAATCGACATTTTGATGCTCCCAATTTCTCGTCTTATTGACGGCAGCCCCTGTGGCAGACGGTTTGTTAAAAGGAATAGCTGGAAACAGAACCGTAAGACGAGGTTGAACCCCACAATTGCTCTCGTTTACTAAGGAGCAAAAATACCCTGTCTTGAAGGGAGCCGGTATTCCAGACTGTTTGAGGAGTAGTAATTTGTGAAAGCAAAGTTACAAGACAGTTGTGAGCAAGTCAAAGACAGTGAATCAAGTTATGTCAGGAACAGCTTGGATACTACCGAAATTTTTCCTTCTTTCTGCGTTTTCCCCTGTTTTTTTGTTTGTAACAATTTCTGACTATACATGTATAATCAGCTATAGAGGCATAGCTGCCACAACAGGAAAGTATGTGGTGGGCACGCCCTTCTGTTTTCTTCCCCCCAAAAGGACACCTTACTATACTGAGGCCTCAAAACAGTTGGTCGTAGGAGTTAATTGCTTCCTACCCTGTGCCTGAGGTTGTACGTCAGAACCATGTTACGCGCAAAAGAATTCGCAAAGGCTTGGTAGAAGTTCAAGACGTCCATGAGATCATCTCGTCTGATGCTATGCAGATCGCAGTACGTGAGAGCCTTGACGTTAGCGGCTGCTTGACCCAGCGAGTTGTCTTTCCAAAAAGCGTCTCCGTAGACATCGCCAGCTCCTGGACATTGACAAAATAATAAACACGTGACAATTTCCATCGCATTGTATTTTTTTATTTAGAATATAATTACTACCCAACGAAACCAGGGACCAGACAATACGCCTTACCCATGGAACATGTAAAATCCCTCTTGGAGATATTCAATATATATGGCTGGATATTACTGAATACAGTTGTCCTTATTCTTAGTCGGAGTGAATTCCTAGCATCAGCAACAAAGTCGGGAAAACAATGCTTGAAACAATTATATACGCTGTGCATTAATGTTTTTTTTTCACTTCAGTATTGCGGAATCCTGATGCTTATTAAGCGAGGTGCGTTATCGATAGGGATTTTGTCGCCGCATTATCTCCGACGAAAGAAAACGTAACATTGTTTTCTCCTTGGAATTGACCATCAGATTTTAACGTTACGTGGTATTTGGTATGGAACGAGCAAGGTATATAATTGCTCATCTTGGTGAACATTTCAGGGAAAGGCCATGCTCAATTAAAGAAAGTGAAAATGGGAGGTGGATCAGGTATCTAAAATCTTTTTAGCTTATAGTTTCTTTGTGTTACGTTTTTCCAACGATAATTTCGTCCGAGGGTGGATTCAGGGGCCCATCGGGGGCCATGCTCTCCCAAAAAAGCTTCTTCTTTTTTTTCAAATAATGACAGACAAATTTGGGTCAATTTCATTTTTCTGCCTTCCGCAAGCGCGTAACAAAACCCCAAATGTAGTCTCATCCCTTAGAAAAAGGCCATAAAGACAATCATAAAAAAAACAATTTAAAAAATTCCCCTACCCCTTCGGACATTTGGTTCTGGATCTGTCCAAACAGATTGGCAACTTACTGCTGGATAATAAATGATACAGTTACATATTGCTGATGGATAACTGGTGCAATAATTCTAATATATGCCCTCTTAGAATTTAGACTGAAGTAAGGTCAGTGTGAAGTACTCCATTATCATTGAAATGCAAAGCGTGCAAGGCACTTTCATCGTGTGCACATTGTGGATGCTGAGCGCTTTGAAAGATAAACAGAAATTATTACTAGAAGTGAAACAAGATTCTTCTTACTGCTTCTGTTGAGATATTGATTCCCAAATTGAATTCAAAGTCCCAAAATTGAATTCAAAGTCCCAAATGTTCGGAAGACTTTATAGAGATACGTTAATGATGTATTTCATCGATGGAGGACATTTGCGTCATAAGCTCATTGTAACCATGCTGAAACCATGCTTAACTAAAAACAAAATTTATTATAGTCATTGGCTGATTTTCAAAACAATTTTTAGGACTGTACTTTGCCTCGATTATTATAAAAATCGTCATTTTTAGACAATGTTTAAAAATCACTAATGGGGGCAGTAAGTGAATTGGCCGAAATTATGACGTGATAAGTGGGAGTTCCTTTTCGGCATGGACGCTACATAGTTCTGGCGGGATATTCAAAATCGCTCAACGCAGGTCACATGACGCAGCGCGATGAGTGTTGTTTACACAGCGGGGGAAGTGTGGTTTTCCAGGGTGGTGAGTGTTGTTTCACAGTACGATTAGAGTTGTTTCACAGCACAAGTGAGTGTTGTTTCAAAGCGTGGTACATGTTGTTTCACAGTGAGGTGAGAGTTGTTTCATAGCAAGATGAGAGTTGTTTGACAGCACAGCGAATGTTGTTAAGGTTGCACAATTTTCAGGATGTACTTTGCGTCCGGGAGATGTTGATTTCAACTCCGGGTTTTGCCCTTACCCAACATATAAACACTGTAAAAAAATTCACAAGCTTGTGAAAATTTGGAAGCTCTCGGACAAACACTGATTTCACAGTGTTTATAAATATATACGTTGGGTAAGGGCAAAACCTTTTATTAATGTTGCAGTACACATACCGTTACGTGGTACGCTGCATGGCAATGGACTTGAATGCAGTGTGCGGACGTCGCGCGTACGTCAACTGCCCTGGCCAAGCTATAGTCACTTTGCAGCAGCAGCAGAAGCAACAAATAAAACTGGTCGCACACGACCGAGGTCACGGTATGCCCAGTAATCGCATTGATGATGGCTGCTACCATGCTCTACAAAATAGCCCCGATACAAGTTTCTTCACATTTCCCTCAGAAATTTCGTGCCAATTTACGGACAACCCTTTCTCGAGACGGTTACACTGTTTATTTTATTAAATATCATTGAGTTTCTTTCCTTCTTTTATGTAAACATTATTCCTACCAGAAGTTCAAGTATGGCGCTAGTCTTTGGCGCACACCTGCAAGTGCCCCAGGCTGCCGAGAGCGATAATGGCCAGGCCCCCTGAGACACTGTGAAAGTACCATCTGGTGTGTGCCTCATTACAAAGACTTTCGCGTCATGGGAGTTTACAATGTATTTTGACTCAATTTGTTGTTATAAAGACAGAGAATTTTGCATTAATTTGAAATGCAATTTCAGCTTTTTTCCCTTGGAATTTACTGCGTGCTGCACAAACAAAAAGTACACTGGCGAGTGTTGCCGGTGTCCCGGTTCCGTCTCGTCTGGTCTTTTTAACGGCATTTTCATCGGGCTCAAATTAGTTTGGCAAAACCGCTTCAGTGCGATGATCTCGTCAACTAAATTATTATTCTCATCATAAGAGGAAGCCGACTGATCATCACTTTCACTGTCAGAAAGCACAACGACACTGGGCTCCGAGTCTGACATTGTGTATGCTACAGAAGCAAAGAGTCACATGCATTCAGATCCCCGCGTATTACGTCACAACTTTTAACAGTAGCCAAATGAAGCCGAAGACGACTCTTCTTTTTGTGTCCGTCGGACCCCAAACTGCGAACTTGTTTTCTCCTATTCGGTTTTAAATACACGTAATGAAAAAAATGAGACCTTGCTTATGTGATATATATATGTAGGTCTATTCTACAACATAAGACATATTGCAGAAAATGCCCTCCGTTGCTAAACTACATCTTCAACTTTGACCCATTAACATAACACATGCGTGGGTTGCGTTGTGCAATGCTTTGCACATGTATTGACACGCATATCAAAAGGCGCCTTAACTGCTCGGAGACAATCTAAATCGTCGGTGTCTAAATTGGCTTTGTTCATTTGAAAAAGTAACAGTGGTAGATTAAAAATTAGAATGTTAACATCGCTCACAAAAAAACAGCTGTGTTCTAGAAAGCTGCAAAGTTGTTGAACCTGTGTAATAAATATTGTAGAATTTCCTTTACACAAGTTAAAGTTGACCTTGCGATGTAAATAACTTAATACAATGAAGAAAGAACTATCAAGGATGGATCAGGTTAACCTACCTAAAATGGCCACCACTTCCTCATCTTGTATTACTTCCAATGACCCGGACACAACGAACCATAATGAGTCCACACTCTCACCGACGTGAATTAGGAGATCTCCTGGAGCACTGTGGCTCATTGTGAAATTGATGGCTAAGGCTCGTAGGCAACCTTCGCTGGCCAGGCGAAAGCCAGCGTGCTCGCTGAAGACACTCCTGTTCAAGTGGACACATACGTCCGCTTTCATGTCTTTAGGGCAGTAGCTTAGAACCTGTCACAGTGGAGTTAAGTCGTGTTAATGGGACCCACTTAAGCCCAGGTGGTTCTTGTGCTGAATATAATGGCCAGCGCATACACGCTAAGTACCGGTAGTTATTTTAAAATAAATGTAACGGCAGAATAAGAAACGCGTTGAAAAGATTATGGATCAAACATGCACAACATATCAAAGCACCAACAGTGAGGGGGTTTTGACATTCAACATAATTCAAACTGGTGTATTGTTATATGAAGTTGCATACAACACCTTTTCAGAATCGATCCCTTTATTTATAGACCAGGAGGAGACAACATAATCCATCACTCGCTCCGATAAGCTCTTGTCAACTTGATGGAGTTTCATGAACTCTTTGACATTGTTGAGCATGTCGTGGTATCTGGCAGTGTTGTGCGTAAACTGCTGGAATATTGTGGTCACGTTACCAAAAATGGTGGCGTACAGAAGAGCTGTAATAAAAAAAAACGAAAAGGATAGAACACTATCTTCAAGTCGATCTGAACGCCTGGTTCGCAGACTCCCGTACGGAAAAAAACGTCAAGGTAATAAAGCTGTTAAAATCTGAAGATCAAAATTCCTGTCAACATATTCAGCAATTACAACGTTTTGCTCAACTTCACTGTTTTTGTGGATCCTATACAATGTACATGAATAAAATACACTGTACGATGTACACCTGCCCACACCATTTTTAAATAACAAATATATGTTAATTAAAAAAACTGGCGTCGCAACTTGCAATTGCACCATTTTTTCCACATTGCAGGTTTCTGTACCTATAGACTTATGTCGATTTGCAACTGTCTTGCATCGCGTCGTGCGGCGAGTCGTTACCCTAACCACTTCGCTTAGGTAGTTGAGTGATGCAGCTTCTCATGACAGACCTCATAATATAAGGCAAACAACTAAATCTCCAACAATATTGTAAGGCCGCCTGTACAGTAGATGGATTCCTTTTTTTTAACTGTGCCAGTTTTGGTTAGTACCTTCGACAGAGGCCATAAAGTATATGGTACTTTATGACTGCGATATCGCTAAAATGTAGTGTTATTGAGCAAGGCCCACACACAAGGGCAGATCCAGGGGCAAAGGGAGCCGTGCTCACCCCCACCCCACACACACACACACACACACACACACACATAAAGAGCCATTTGGCGGGGGGAACAATGACAGAAAGGCGATTTTTGGTCTATTTCATTTTCCCCTTTCACAAAGTGTGTAAAAAGCGTGTGGTTGAGTAACGATAGCCTATCCCATGTTTTTTAAGACATTACTTCTGGTAGCTGTTTTTTACATTTACTATTTCTCTGCTTCTCTATACTTACATCCCACGACCATCATCAGGATTGTGAAGACTTTTTCAAGCACTGTAACAGCTGCAATATTGCCAAAGCCAACACTTGTAAAACTGCTCATTGTGTAGTACAGCGACGAGATGTACTTCATGGTTACGGGCGGTCCGCTGTCCGGATCAAAGTTCCCCTCTTCGTCGTAACTGTACGGGTATCCAACATCTCTGGACAACTTGAACAGCCAACCTTGGGTTAGGTTGTTTCTTGCATCGCTTACTCCGATGGAATACCAAATACAAGCAGCCCAATGAGCGAATAGCATGTATGACAACATCAGAAGTATCAAAAAGGCAACACCGTATTCAATGTAGTGGTCCAGTTTCCGGACGACACGGCCAAGTCTGAGGAGCCTCACTACCTTCAATGCACTGAATATACTGCTCAAATTCTGCTGTGGGTAAAACAAAATCTTTCTGAATAAATTTACATTAGCACTTAGATTGTTAAATCCATCTTTAGGGAAGACGAACAGTCAGTTCTACCTCTAGGCCCCTACTTGACTGTATTGCAACAGAAGATTTTAAGAAAATAGGCCTAAACAATAAAAGTAAAGTTACACAAGAATGTTAGCCTACAATGACTTGCCAGGGTCAGATTGTGAAATGAATTTTTCACTCCTCACCAGGTCTTTCTTAGCAGACCCTGTCCTTCGGATTTCAACAAAATCTCCTTCCCGTCGACTCTCAGTTCAAAGCTTTGATGTACAATGGCAAACAATGTGAAATAAAACTTTAGAAGTGATCCCTGTTAAAACTCCACTGTCTTTGTTCCCAAATATTCATGCGTAAAATGATTTCGTGCTCCGGTTTTGCTTCAAAGTTTGACGAGGCAAAAAAAAGGTGTACCAACTCAAATTCAGCACTCTGTGTATTGGTATGTTGTGCAGGGTCTTTAGATGTCACACAACAGGTTGGGGAAAAAACAGCCTAACTGCATGTGGCTTCACCGTGTAATAGCCTATCGGTGTCCATGGACATTAAGAGAACAAACTAGTCTTTATAAAGTAATAAAAGCAAATTTCGAATTAAATAATAATCCTGTGCCTTACGTTTTGCTGTTGAAACGCATTGATGACATCATACGGTAGGCACGAAAGGAGGTCGATGATAAACCAAGACTTGAGATAGTTCATACGAATGACCTTGGGGTCAGAAACAACCTCTCCCCCGGGCCCGACAAAGGTTGTGTGGAAATTTAGTATGACATCAATAAAGAAGACGATGTCCACAATGCCATCTACAACCATACTGATGTAGTCCTTGGCAGTTTGTGTTTGAAAGGCAACATTCAAAGGCACAGCCACAGCTGTATAGAAGGTGAGTAGAAGTATAACCCAGTCCCACATTATTTTGAACGTGCAGTAATGAAGAATTATGTGAGGCGGTGTCTTGGGCGCTTCTCGCTTGTACTGCGGCAAGACCTCGGCATCTATGCTCATCATCTGAGAAGGGGGATAAGATGAAAATGATTTCAATGTAATGTTGCAAATGATTTGCAGCTATGCAGGGTGTATCTGAAAAAGTAGACCATGAGAAAAATCACGATAAAAATAACATAGGACAAATTTTTAAAAATAAAATCTGGTTGTACCCTTTGCTTAAGGGGGTAGCTCGGCTTTGTGATTGATGCCAGTTTTGTTGCTCAAATTTCACACTTCAATGATTAGCGAAAGTTTGAATTTTGGAAAGTAAAAGTCTCTTGCACACAGGTGTGTGAGGGTTAAGATGAGATCTGTCAGATTACATGAAAATTTTTACAAAGAGTTTCACTGGCACACGTAAAATTTGACAAACAATAAACCCATAACCCCCTAACATCGATAACAAAATAATTTCATTGCTGTGTGTATCATTACCAGGCAGTTAAGGTTAACACCACATACATTTCTCGATGAATTTGAGGACACCAAGTTTTAATCTTCTTTAAGTTGATGTTTTGAAAGTGTGAAAGGTCAGTGGTCCTTAAAATCATTGCATTGTCTGATACACCCTGTATATATGTATAGAAACTTCAACCCTGTTGTCAAAAGACCTACATAGCTCATCAACGCAAGGAAATCGGGCCAGGCGTGCTCGCTTCATTCAGATCTACTGAACGTCAACACAATGAAAACTAGATAATGAAAAACAAAGTTAACTAGTGGGAGAAGACGGACACTAGCGAGTTCTATCCCAGCGAAGAGAGCACCCCTGTCGTGTTCGCCGTCTTATGACTGCCATGTTTCAACTGTATACAGTTTTGGACATCACACACCACTGATGTTGTCCTATTAATGTAATTACCTGGGCTAGGAGCACACACAATAATTATGCGAATGACATGTACAGTGAAAAACCGAATTCTCAACCGATGATTGTTGGTCTCGGTTTATTTCATTATCGCCAAACAAGTGATTTTGATTAGGGAATCATGGGTTTTCTCGGTCAACATTTGTTAAAAAAACATTCAGAACATCTTGCTGGGGGCAAAAGAAAACACTTAACTGCCTACTGTGCGCATCTGTGGTTCATATTAGATTTGGGACGTTCAAATTTGTGTTCATGCGTCACATTAGCACTTTCTTAACACCTTATAACGTTGCAAGTTATGCCATTCATTTTCAGATGGTCGTTACATTTACTACATGTAATTGGGTGGGTGACTTTACATGCCGTTCCTTGTTGGAGTTCTGTGGTTGCAGCCTTACTCAATGGTTTTCATTGCTATTCCCAGCTGCTACCATAATATTCAGAAGCAGTCTGTACATTATAGATGTGTGTTATAATTTTATGTGTCTTTGTGTCTGTGTCTTTTCTACACTTTGTGTTAATACTCGCCAATTATCTTACAGCGAAGCAAACTGTAGAAAAAGGTTGTTTTATACACAGCCGCTATAGGCGTCTCGAAACTGCCAAGCTGTAGCCACGTATCTATATTTTGCAGACAGGAAAACCTGCACATAGCACGTACTCAAAAATCAAGGCACACGACAGCTCCTTTAAAGAGAGTTTAGGCACTTTTGAAAAGAAATGTGAGGTATTCGCATGTTTTACTGCTAACATGGTAATTAAAAGAAAGAAAATTTTCAAATCCCGCTTAGTCGATTTCTTTGTTCATGTTTATGATTAAAGGGTGAAACAAACTGAAGTCTTGCTTTCTACCCTCCTTTTCAAATGGAAAACGCACTTATTGAAGTTAATGAAAACCTCACCTGGGAATCGCACATGAGGAATGTCTGTAAGTCGGTTGCTTATAAGATTCATTCCCTTGGTCGACTGAGACATGTCGTTAACAATGGTCTTCTTAACAGGTTATACAAAACAACCATTCAGCCATGTCTTGACTATGCCAGTTCTGAGTGGGGCAACTGCTCAATGACTAACTGGAAGATTCTTTTTAGGCTACAAAAAAGAGCAGCCAGGATTGTTGCTAACAACTTTGATTATATTAATTCTTATGGTGATGACATCATCAGAGCCCTTTCTTGGCAGACTTTTGAGCAAAGGAAGGACTTTTACTTAGCTTGTAACATGTATTAATATGTTCATGGTTTAGCCCCTGACAGACTTTGTAATAATATTTGAGATGTATTTTGATAGACATGGACTTAACAGTGGAAACGCTGATTCTCTTAATGTTGTAGTCCATAGGCCTAACATGGAAAGTGTTACGCAGTCTCTCGACTATTCCGAGGCTATTATATGGAACAACTTACCAGATAAAGTCCAGAATGTATCCTCTTTTGATGTTTTTTTAAATTATGCATAAGAAGCTTTGTTTTTAACGAGGCATTTTTAACACTATTGTGGTCTTGTCGGTTAATCTTATTGTTACCATTTTCAAAATTGTTCATTTTCTCTGTACGGCACAGGACCATGATGTAAAACAGCCAATAAGCTGAATGTCTATCCTGTATAAGATTTTTAAATAAATAGACTATTAAAGTGTTTGGACATCGCTAGTCTAATAATATGCACGTTCTGCGTAGGCGTAGCCATTACCATTGTGTACACGAACAATCATTCGACATGACGCCCACTCTTCTGAGTATATGTGGGTGAAATTCAGAGTGGTAGGCAATTGCGAATCATGTCCTATTGCCTTCGGTTTAGCCAACGTATTTTTCCACGGTGCAGTAGGCGGCTTCTCATATCGCCTGCTATTTATGTGCTTGGCCAAAATTTGTAAAATGTTCTTCCATGGTTGGTGGCAGGTTCTGCATCTAAAGGCACATTTTTTTTCATGAAATTAAAAATGGTGAGGGCCAATATTAGTCGTATTTTATATGTGGGTTTGATTTTTCAAACGCACTGTGAACAATTCCTTTACTTTTGTACTGACGGCCAGCCAAAGTTTCCTCACTATAAGTTGTCAAAACTACCACTCTGACATAAAAAGAAAGAGATTATCTGCTCTTTTCTTCGCGTTTATAGCTCTAACACTTATGAGCAAACGAAGGACAGGTCACAGTGAAAACCACGTTCAACGTGCCTATGATTATACTTTGCAACAAGCTTACGTTGCCCAAACGTGAGAAGTCGCTTGAAAATATCATGAGACCGGAAATCTTCAGCTTTTACATCGTTAATTCATTTATCATTAAACATGCATTTAACTGAAAGTTGATCAAAACGTGAATTCATATTTTGCGTGATTTGTCATCAGTTTTTTGCATTAAAAATTCCAACTGCCCTGGAGAGCCTTTACAAAATTAACACGGTTTTCAGGAAGACATGTTTGGGTTACTTTTAGTTTTGTGAAAATAAGTTTGGACCCCTCCGGCCGATTCCAAAAAAAAACCCACATGCGGATCAATAACAAGTGATGTTGCTGCCGACGTATAGAAAAATGCCTGCAAATGTTTTTCAGCTATCCTGAATAATTTCCTGAGGGACATGTTTTGCTTACCCAAGTGTGTCCGTAGCAACACTAAGAGACAACTATCCTTGTGAGCCTGAACATTCGTACGTGGTACCTGTTAACATGCATTCATGAACGTGCATGCACTACTTTCAAACAATTTGAGAACTCTGGTTAAAACAAAAAACAAAAAGAATACAAACACTGACGAGGAACATAACCTCGATCACACTGGCACTCTACAATTATATTGAAATTGAGCTTGTCAGGCAATACTTACATGAGCGATCTGCGATATTTGATTTTGGGTGCTTTGTTCTGACTTCATATTTGGCAGATGCTGGGCCACTTGTACGAGAACCGATTTACTCCTCGTCACGGTTCGTGCCAGCCGGGCAAATCTGCTTAGTCCTGGACACAATTTATCAATAAGAAAACTTTTTAAAAAAAGAATGCTGAAGCAAACTTGAGTGATTCCCATAAACCTTAGGCATCATTGTTGGTATAGGTGAATTAGAAAATGGCTGAAAAAATTGCAAAATATTATCTCGGATTTCAATTTCAATAATTTGTAAATAGTAAAGAAACAATAGCTGGTATGTGAAAAGAATTTCAATGATCCTAAGTCTATGGGAAGCTTTCAAGGACGAGGAGGGTCAGAATAATGAAATTATTGGTTTTCAGCATGCTGTTGTAAACGTACCACTTAGGAAACCATAAATTTCACTTTGATATAATATGCCCATGCATTGGGTCACGCGTATGCGTACCTTTTGCATTTTCATCCTCGATCGGTTGCTTGAGGGACGTGATGTCTTTGAATGTGCATAGAAAAAGTACGATTTGATCCTTCTCATTTTGGATGGGAGCTATTTGGAGAAGCGACCACATCGGTGTCCCTGCAGGGAAAAGGATTTTGTTATAAATCGTTAAAGACAGAAAGGTCTGATGAAGAAAACATTACACATTACACTTTTTAACTTGAGTTCAACAATTCTAATTTTATTTCTAATATTTGTCTTCAAATTTTCAGCTCTATTTTCATTACGTCGTTCATCAGTGCGTTCACTAACTGATGATGTGAAAGTCTTTTCCAGTAAGAATGAAATTTTTAAGAGTTTTACTCTGCTTTCCGTGTGTGGATCCTTGCAGAATGTTACACATAGTGTCAGACAAGTAGCAAAAATTCTTTCACCTTCTGTCAAAGGACATTTTCAAGCTTTCGAGCCATACTGTTGCCACTGATGCAAGATAATGAATCCTTTAGTACATTTAATAGTAATAACAAAATTGCTTTTGAATTTGAGAAAATGGCTCCATCTGTGGACATTCTATTAAGATGTGGACAAAATTTAAAAATAAAATTGGATAATGAATAAATATTTAGAACTACAAGCATCACAACCACAAATATGGTATCAAATTAAAGAGAACAAAACCTTCCTTTTAAAGGCTGTACCTACAAGGTGGATTCAGTTGACTATGTTTTTTTGGGGGGGGTGGCTAGAACGACAGATTTTGAGTACCCATTTGGCACCTTGTTTTAAAATTTGAAAGTCAAGAGTATTATTGTTACCTTTTGGCAATAAGTCAAAGAGATAGGTTCACATTTTTGTGAAAGAGCTTTTTTTACCTTTTAATTTTCGCCAAAAAACGGGCAGAAAAAACTGTAACGTAACTAACAACAACCTTTTGGCGGTGCTTTTAACTGGTGAGAGAACCTGTTGTATATGTTGAAACGCTCATCAATAAGCAGTTACAGAAAATAGTACAATTTTACTCATCAGTATGCCGTCTGCGGAAACTTTGTTTCCCAAAACAAGTATTTTATCTCACACTTTTTGATTTATGGCAGTATTATAAATCCTATCAAGATGTATATAGTCGACTCTCGTTATTAACTAAGTCGCAGGGACCAGACAAATTAGTTTGTTATAATCATGGCTTTGTTACAAGACGAGTTGAAAAACATAAGAACTTGAGATATTGGGATTCTCGAATTCTGTTGTTTGTAACAGTATTTTGTTATAATTGTTCTTTACAGTCTACATGGGATTCAAATGGAGGACTGATTCTGACACGTAATAGGAATATGCATCATTGCTTGAAATACCACAAAACTAACTGCACAAGTAATGCTGTGGACTATTATTTGGATGAAATTTAATTAAAGGACCATGTAACAGAACTGTTTTATCAAGTCCTTGAAACTACACTTGTATGTTTCTATTACCTTATTTTCAATGTGTGTTTTTGCTGTTTTATCTGTACTTTGGGGACTTTTTGTTTCTATATGCTAATATGAATATGCATATTCTTGAACAAAACTGTTATCTAATCCAAGACACTGAAACTCAATGTTGCATTGATATGTGTACAAAAATTGCTAGATTTTTACCTTTCGTTATCGAAGATCTCCATTTCTTTCGGCAATTTATTGTTGCATAAGTATATGGCAGTAAGCTAGTGAGCAACGTTTTGTCAGAGATATTTTCAAAAACTAAATACATGCAAACAGAGCAGTGTTTTCCTGAAATTACACGAACAGCGCCCTCTCTTACCTGGCAACGCTTGGTCTAATTTAAATGATTTACAAAGTGCACTTTACAGTTCACTTAGCTCCATAAGCATATCTACATAAGTCATACACTGGAGAAGAGTTTAAACATACACAAAAGTTATTCTAAGAAAACTTCATTACATTGATCCTGAAAATGTTAAAATTCTGTGATGATATTGGATTTTATCACTAAATTATCCAATTCTTTTCAAGAAGCAAATTTGGCACTGTACTATTCCTTGTTTTCCCTGTGTTCATTAAAGGTGTTGAGCAGAAAGGAGTATAAGATAATAGCTTCCCGCTACACCGTGTTTGCATTACCTGTCCATGTACAGGTACTTACACTTTGATTGGGAGCCATTTTATACACCAATAGACAATTTTGTGACCAAGATAGCCAATTAAGAGCCACCAAATTTCTAATAATGGCAAAGAAGGCTTAGAGGGGCAACCACCCTATCAGATACTTTGCTCTGGGATACTTGGCAAGCCGTAGGCCAATGAGAACTTTGGTTAGTTATTTCCATTCTTGGGGTTTAATGATTGGCCTGGAAGGAAAAGTTGTTATGCTATATTTTTTGTTTCAGCCTCTGAAGGAACAACATCTACAATATGATTCTTCTACTTTTTTTTTTGTTTACATTTTTCAAGAGTCGGTGAATTGTCCTAAATACAGTTTGCTGAGATGACGTTTCTGTGTTTGTGTGCAGTTCATTTTGTCTTTTCATAAAAATTAATATTTTATTTGAGGTGGAACTTATCACTATTTATTCTAAGGAAGCATGAGCCGACCTGACCAAAGAATCGCTTCTTCCATGCATCATTAGGTTCCAGTAAACCAACAAATGACGGACCTCCAGCACAGACCCGTATAAGCTATTCAGAATAACAAAACTCAAAATGAGGTGATAAGTTAATCTATTTTTCTGCATCTCAACTTGTCTGCAGTAGTCGGGATTTGAATAATTCTCGGATTTTACACCCTGATGTCACACCCTGACCAGTTACACCATTACGTGAACACCTAAGAACTGCGGTTTACACCCACGAGGACGCCTTGTGTCGTGCGAATCACTCAGTGTGAATCGGATCCCTGGGAAAATCTATTTTTAAAACGTAAGACCAGGCACTTGGCTCGTGACAGATCCCATGTGGGTGATGTGGTCATCTCGCAACCCTAGGGCTACATTTGTTCCAAAGGTGAACGCTGACATGATGGTGACAAAGGGTTCATCGGGCTAATGTTGACAGGGCATGACGTCACGTTCTTTAGCTTGGTCTGTACGGACCAACCTTACAAGTTGAGTATTCAGGCATGATTGGGTCATCCCAATCAATTGATAATAGTCAAGATGACCGAGCCAAAATGGAGACACGCTCGTAGAGCGAAATACGTAGCCAGCAAGAAAAGCGAAATTACCGACAGTAAAAGAAACAGCTTTACTGCAAAGAAAAGAAAAGTGACAACGACCAGTAGTGTACGTGAGACTTTCAGGAAGTTGAAAAGTTCAAGACAATACAAAACTGATGATAAACTTTACATTATTGGGTGATCTCAAGCAACTATTGGAGAACTATCGGGCTCTGTTTTCCTCTTTTTTCTGGGGATTTTTCTAAGTGAGAAATGTATTTATAAGAGCTTAGTTTAGTACATTATGAACGTCATGCATGCTCTCGTTTTTTCTTTCTCGAACCATTTTACTGCACTCAATTCTGCTGGTGTTTTCCCCTACCTGTCGAGCAATTACTGCATTTATACGTGGCAGTTTTACATGCCTAAAAAGTTTACATAACACAGACTTAGTGTTTTAGTGAGAAACACTCCCACAAGATATAATTCGACCGGATTTACATGTAAGACAAGTAAGTTTACCAAAAGACTCTGATTTCGTTTCATTTATTAAAACGACAGGTTCTCGTCTTTAAAACGCACTGGTATAGGCAATATTTTGAAGTGCCCAGTGAACAGATCAACACATTGTCAACATAGTACAAGTATGATATATCAACAAAATGCTTCAGTCTGAAACGTGTGTAGCTTGCACATTACTTCGTCTTATTTATTTTCAAAACTACTAATTTCACTACACTACACTATAACGACATTGTAGGAGGGCTTGTTGCAAACTTATAGTGGTTTCTCAAGGAAAACCACTCCATTCACAGTATAAGCTCCGAATTATGCGTAGTATGTGATTCAAGGTTTGAATATTTCTAATGAAAGTCTTTAAAAAGAAAGGTCAGCGCTCACGTCACGGGAGTATTGCCATGGAAACGTTCTTGAAATGAATATAAGCGATGAGCTCTTAATCAGCTGGGATAATCATACAAGACTATATATAAAATTTTTACATCTGCAGTAATTAAGACGACCCTCTAAAAGTTTTTAGGGTGTAATGCCTGCATGACGTATTACGCCTTAACCTGCTGCTTGTTACCACAAATATGTTTGGTTTTCTTCTGATTCCTACAAGTGACTCTCTTCCGTCTTTACGAAACTCCAAGAACCGTATCGGACATTACAGAGTCGATTACCCTCTCCATGTGAAGCCTTATTCATTTTGAGAACTACACATAAAATGCTTTCGAAGACTGGCGTTGTCTTTTAATCAGCATTCATGATGTTGTGCCATTTTCAGATGCATTTTACTTCACTCTTCCTTGTCAGTCATCAGTGGCGTAAATCTGTGTTGGAAATGGGGGGGTGGAGGAATGACTTGTCGGCCAAGGAAATTTGAAAACGGGCGGGGAGTTAACACTATATACACTATATAGGGGGCAATGTTCGTAATAAGCATGTACATCTGTAATGTGTATCATGCAGAATCGTACATCAGAGTGGTATATTTATGGCTTTTTAAAACTGCTCTCCCTTTTTATTGATATTGCAAACACTTTAGTCATTGGGAATTCTAGAAAATTCTTCACAATCCGCTTTATTGTTATTTTTTAACTCTTATTAACTTTTTTAACAAAAAGAGGGGGATGATTCAGTATTCCAACCTCTCCCTCCAAAGAAAAAGTGGGAACGTTTTATGCCTATGTCAGTCATCGTTATCCGTGGCTTTCTGCTTCATTTTAATCATATGGGTATTTCAGTTTTCTGTATTTTTACCCATTCTCGTGCTTTGTAATATTTCAGTCAAAGCTGACGGTGCCTGCTTGCCGTATAGTCCTGACAAATTCGTGGGATTCGCATAATCTGCAATACATCTGCAAGAATACAAAAGGTAACTGAACACAATAACCACTCCAAATTGAGAAAGATGGGGAATCTGTGAAACCTAAAATTCAAATCTCCGTGATATGCTTCTTACTCGTCAGACAATGTCGCACATGCGTTCAAGACCCATGTCATTATTTTCAAATAACTCCCTCCGTGTACTTAGACTTAATGTCCACGGAGTCACGTCAAAGAAAATGTTCAGAGCAACCCCCCAACTCATCGACTCCCTATTTCATTGCTTACTTGATCTCCCTGTAAGCCATTTACCTGGCGCAAAGCACACTCACAAGATCCTATTCGAGTAGCCATTGTCACTTCTCCCAGTGGGCAAACCAAAACATACTCAGGCTGAGCTGGATCAATAATCTGCTGCACAACCTGTCCGACTAGACGTTTTTGCCCGTGGGGCAAGACTATACACACGCACTCTGGAGAACAGCGATTATATAAGCTCGTCCAATTCGGTGTTAGAACAAGACAAGTCATTTGGACAAGTTAGGCCATAATGATTGTTGGGTGAAGGTAAAAACAGTAGATGCTACATAAACAAGGAAAATATTCATTGCATAATAAGATATTTTCCAGGACAATACAAATCTACAAGCAAAGTTGCTTGAAGCTTATGATTCAGAACAGATTCATTTTGCATCACAGAAATATCTATTTTAAGCATAAATGATTTCATAATCTCTGTCGCTGCGGTTCACCGCTTAACGAGCCACCTGAGACCTACTCCATATCTTCTTGTGTGTGAAAATTGAGTTTCTGAGGTTCAACGCGTAGGCAAAGGGCGCCAAAATGGTAACACTGATAAAAGAATCAGAATACTTCAGAAAGCTTTGTCAACCACAATTTCAGTGTGGCCAGTTTCAATACACAAGAAAGGTTTCACTGGAGAAATCAGGCTACGACGAACCAGTAAATGTCCCGCAACTACGGAACAAGCACGTCTTTTTTTCAGTTTTCTTGAAATAATATTTTACTTTCCTTGAATACTATCTGAATTAAAACAGCCATACTTTAAAACAAATATCCTACTTATCATATGTTATACTTATATGCTTTTATTTTGTGGTAGAGATCCAAATTTTCAATCATACCATTTATAAATGGCAACATCTCCAATACATTAAAAGGAAAGAATGCATATGTAGTCTTTATTAAGAAGCTTTGTTTCACGTCATACGTTTATATTTTGGGATTTCCTCCGAAGGAAAAATTTATGTCTAAAATCCAGTGAGCAATTTTGCCTTAGTTCAGTGAAAGAGTAATTCAATGGATCGAAATGTGCATAGCATTTCACTCTACTACTGTTGCCCAAATTGTCAAGTCCTTTGACCACCACCCAATTTTATTTCATACACAAGTTGCAGCGACGGATAAAAAGCCTCTTTGGCTTATTGTTCAGTTTCAGTTAAGGCCTGCCTTCATGCATTGTCACACCATCGTTGACATTAATATTAATTTAATTTTGATCCTCCAGCACAAATGATAAAGAACCTGTCATGAAAATTTCAGTTCGTCCCCGTTATTCATTCATCACTGACGAGCTTGTTTATACATCCATGAAAGCATCTACTGCAGAACCACTTCAAAGTGAAAGTCCTGTCGTATAATGAAGGGGATTGATATTGGCAATGACACGACGCCTGTTCAAATGAAGTCTAGTCTCATACACTATATTAAAGTCAAGGAGCAAAAGGTGTTATTTTGGTTTGTAAATTTCCTTGCTGGTAATTTATGTCTACATCCATCGTAGACAGATTTCGAATAAGTACAGCCTCTTCATCCGGGGATGGAGAGGACATACCCATTCCCCACTTTTTCCTTGAAGGTGGGCATTAGAAACCAAAAAGAGGGTATTGTTGAACTTCCTAACAGCTAAAAAGGTACGAAATAGCACTAACATCGGCGAACAAATATCCCACCCATTTTCCAGCACAGATTTACCCCACTTTGTATCAGTAAGGCACATCATGCATAACAAACCCTGTTAAAATTGGGCGTGTCATCACTGGCACACCCGGTTCATTGCATTACCATAATGATCAACGAAGGACCCAGACCAAATCAGATTGTTATATCATTGTTGCCGTAAAATACAACCAAATATTAACTTATGTCAGTTTGGAACGCCCTACTTTACAACAAGGTTGTAAGGCAAGGCAACGTGGTGACAGAAATGTCCCATACAGTGTAACAGTCAACCAGTGTAAAACACTGCACGTACGCTGAGCACGTTCTAGCCATGTCGACTGGTGTCGGTGTTTGCCCCACATCAAAATAAAAAATGCCCTCTTACTTACGGTGGAAAATTTCCAAATTTCCAAAAATGAAAGAACTGCTGGGAGATAAATGAATGATGAAGTAAAAATACTTGCAAGTCTTATGCGAGAAACATCCAATCCGTTGATGCAGACAAATTGCCAGTTGCGGGTAAGAGGGGATCGTGAAGAAGTATTTTATTTAGCTACTTTGCTTCAGCTTAATGACTTTGGGTCTGGTTAGGGCAGAATTGTTTTCTACATGGAAAGAAAAATTTGCGAACACACCTTCCCTCAACAAGGCAACGGACAAGAAAGGTGCAAGACAAAAGTGACGACTACAAATAGACCGCCGCAAACATGTTGAGGTGAAAACGTAAAACCATAGTTGGAGGTGTAAATCCAACCGGAAAAGAGTGGCTTTGGTAGTGGCACACGGCAAGGGCGATTGCGACTGGTTGTGATCGATTGCACCTGCTCGCCTCTCTTAATAGAGGGAACGCCGAACTCATTTCCTCTGCGAGCCATCCTTATTCAACCAGAAAAACGTATTATCATCTGACGGTGAAAAGCCTCTCTTATTCATCAGCATTCTATCTCTGCTGGTTTTCCCCAACTCACTGTTGATGATACATGCTGCTCAGATTGTAGGTTTTAATTGTGACAAGGCAATATGCTAAATTTAGTATTATATTTTTGTCTACCAACGACTCTCACAAAGCATTCTGTTTAGAAGAAATCGGACATTGGAGTTGAAAAATCCTTTTACAAGACTGCTAAAGTATATGTCAGTATTAAATACATCGTTCAATAAGAAAATTACTCTTTGCCAAATAAAATTATAAAACTTAGAATAGTAATGCTTCCAAACGCACATTACATAGCACTCAGGAGTCTCTCAATTGACAGTCAATGGTGATTCAATATCAATACTCAATACTCACTTAACGAAATCTGACGTTTGTAGAGGTCTCTTCGATGCGCACCATAACATAGCAGGGGAAATCAGGCCCTAAACATTTTCTGCAATAGTTTTTAAGTATTGTCTTGCAGTCATTTTGGCACCATTGTTGTGAAAATTGGGCATACCGTTCTCCTACAATGTTCATTTTGCGCACCAATGTTGTGAAAATTGGGCATACTGTTCTCGTACAATGTTCATTTTGCAAAGCCGTCAGGTCAGCCAGAAATAGGCTACACAGTTTTTCCATTGACGTGTTTAATGCACGCGGGCCGACACACCTTCTCGTTGATTTTCACAAAACAAGATTTAATGTTTGGAAACATCCATAATGTAGAAACTGCTCTTCTAAGGGGGGGCACAGGGTCACGTTTCCCCAGCGGATGCCCTGTCCCCGTTGGTGACCCCCCCCCCATTTTTAATCTTTAAATAATGTCCCTTGTAATTTAGCTGCAGCTTAATTTCTTATGGTGTCTCCTCGAAAAAACGTGTGCCCCCCGGGTGCCCCGGAAATTTAGCCCTATAGTTACTCCACTGGGCCCGAGAACAGACTAGGTTTATCCACGTCTGTGACAGAACCAACAGGCTAAACATGATCAATATGCGTGTATCTCTCTTTTTCTCTCTTGTGAATACAACCTAATTATACTTTATACTCTGATGAACAAATAAGTGAGAACAATTCCTTCCACATGGGACCTGCACTAGAAAATGGGCCATGAAGCCTGCATACTCTTTCGCGCCAAGTCATTACGTCTGCTCAGACATATATTTAGTTGTCTCCGAGTGTCCGACGTTGCACAAAATTGGATTGACTAGAATGCTAAGGGTTAATCTCTTGGTGGTTGCAAATGTGTCATGTTACCCACTCTGAAGGCTGAAATGTAACCACGGGGAAGAATGAAAATATGTTGAAGCAGTGTCTGTGTAGAATCACAAATCTTCAAGGACTGAAACCATTTGAATAACCAGAGAAAGTGTTGCCTGCCACGAAACTATTGGCTAATACCCATTAAAATTGGTCAGCTTTTTATTCTCTTAATTTATTATTTTATATTTCAGTGCTTGGATGTGATGCTGCTCGCGGTTTAAAAAGACTGTTCTATAATTATTTGGCATGGTTTACACCCACAAAACGAATCTTTAATATGGATCTAATGTTGAAATGTGGCTTTGTGCGACAAGCATGAAATGCACCGCCTAGGGTCTATAACTTCCCAGTTCAGTTATGAAACTCCAATTATAGTCCCCTCTCGTAAAGTCCCTTGGTAAGTAAGAAAAAGGCATCATCTTTTCTATGCTTAACATTCGACAGCCATCTGCTAATTTACTAACAGTAAGACTCTACTCATTCACATACTGCAATTGAGGATCGAACAGTTTAGAAATTACTGGTATTGAATAAAGCCTATATGTAAAGCCAATCAAAACATTCCTGGATGATACGTAAATCAATATGGAAACAAATATGTGTGTTACGATGGGCACAGGTTTACTTGAACAAATTCGATAAGTGCACCGTGAGCAGATGCAAACGTATATAGGCCTACATGTACAATTGCAGGAATTTCGATCTTACTGTTTCTCTTGTATATGACAAGCTCCACCTGCACAGGCGTCTGGTCCTCAAACGCCTTCTCCACCTTCTTAATGGTCTCTTTATCAGTTAAGTCCCCATACATAAAGTTACAGGTACTGCTCTTCTGCATGACGTCAGCCCGTGTGCGTCCTGTCATTTTGCAAAATCCATCATTACTATAGACGATGGGGTACCCGACAACTCGTGCATTAGACAAGATGAAGTTGCTATCTGCAAGTCGAAAGAGAAAAAAAAGGACACAAACTAATGTCAAACAAATGGGTCTGGGATCCAGGCAAATACATTGTTTTCAAGTTTTGAAAAGTTAAGTAACTGAATAATAATAGTTAACGTATCGTTTATCTGGTTTAGTCAGTGACAGAGGTATGTTCGCACAAATTGTAGGAGTGACGCATGTTATATGCCTATCTGTACTGCTGACATCTTGTCATACGTTTGGCAATATAAGTTTTTTTATTTACGTCATATGTACGCTTTCTCAAGCTTGATTAACCGAAATTAAGGACGCAAGGGTCACAGGGAATCACCGATATACCAGAAAAAATCAGAAATTGACCCATTAACATTACATGCATGTCAGTCTTAACAGTCTTTCCTCCAAAGGCTATTTCCACTCATGAATTGTGAACAGGCCTATAATGCCCTACCCTCCTAACACGTACTTCTCCTTCGTCGGTTTGTTAATTATAACTATTCCTTTCAGTGGTGGCAAGCGTAATCAAAGTTGCAACTTCGGAAAAACCCATTCGTTTTTCGATTTGATATGTCACAAGTACTTACTTAACTCTGACACCCTAGACACCACATTCCAAAATAAGCAAACTGACTGGCAATATTGCGAGGAGGTGCATAGCTATTCCGGACCTAATTATAATATTCAAGATTTGGGCACAAATTGCTGTGTCACTGGACAAATTTAGATTTAAGTGTTGGATTATTTTTCGAGAGGGGGTTACTACATGCAGTAAGTTTCCCGCAATTTTTCTAATTTTTTTCTTCATTCAGAAAAGATGAAGAAAAGACCGGAACGCATTGATTATCAAAATCCTGTTTTCGATTTCGTCAAATTCCAATGGAAATCGTTTAACCTGATGATTGTGTACGGTATGTAGGGACTGAATTAGTCTTTGTTCGATTGAGTTCCAGAATGTTTCTATCAAATTCACATGATAGTGTACAACCACGCACAGACGTTTTGGCACAGTGTATCGAAAAAGACAAGAAATTACAGGTTGAACAACCAATCCAAAGACAAGAAGAACAGAATCGACTGTTTCTGAAAGATATGAAAACATGAGTTCATTTCACTTTTACACATTAAAGGCCTACACTCATGTCTTGCATGAAACAGAAAGTATACATTTTCATTGACATATGTATAGACTTTCTTTTTTTCCAGTCAACGCATGAAATTGTCGAAGATCTAAATGAACCGTATGACAGAATGTTTAACAGGGAACATACTTAATAAATACATGAAATAATCAAGTAAATATATTTAAAGCAAAAATAATCAGATGAAAAAGTAAAAATGGAGAAGATAGTGTAGAATCATGAGACAAATTTGAATGATATTTACATAAGATTGATAGCAACATGACGAAACTGTTTTATTCATAGCACGTTCGGTGATTGTAGAAAACAAAATCGAACTGTTTTTCTCGAAATATATTACATTGCCTGAATAAAAGGAAAAATGAGCGATCACAGACGAGATCAAACATAAGACATGAAATGTGATTAATGGAAAAGGTTAAAATGTGTGGAAAACCTATAAATTTCTACCCGTCTTCACAACTGCATGCAATCTCAAATATTTTCCATGGCAATAACTTTATTCTCATTCAAAATGGATGGTTTCTAAATGTGCCGTTTTCTTTTGTAAAGCTCGAATTCTTTGCTGATAGACTTCATAAGTTATGAATAAGTATGTTCAAAAATCAAAACCAAGCAAACATCTGATAAGACAAAAATGCATGAAACCTCTGTGGATGTGTTGGGAAAGTGTTAAAGAAGGTAAAGACATCTAACACCAAAATAATGAACGGTATTAGTAATCTAAAAAGACGGCACACGAACGCAGCATGACGACGAAATAGCATATTGTCCAGAACAACTGCTTTGCCTACATTTTCACAAGAGAAGATTTCAGAGGTTTCCCCCGCCCCGATCCAGAAACGAAATTAGTGAGTGCACCCGTATGTTAAATAGAGAGGTAATGTTAAAGAAAAAGAGGAGGTTAAACCCATCACAACCTCCCCTGAACCAGACAGCTTACACCCTCGTGTTTTTTTTAGGAGACTGCAGAATGTCTTGCCGGTCTATTGACTACTATCTTAAAGTCACTTTAGAAAGGAAAGATTTCCAGTGCATAGGAGGTCGCTCATGTTACAGCCATAGAGCATTAAGTTGGATGCAATTTATTGGACAGAGAGGACCCCTCCCCCTTTGTGTTGGTCATTATTATACTGGTATCTGAGAAATTCTTTTCAGACATCTATGGGGGACGTGTTAAGTGTGAATAAAGATTGGACTTATTGGGGTGCACCCCTCTGTCCCATTTTGTGCCTGTTACAGCAGAGAGGGTAAGACCAGTAAACCTCATGTCACTTGTGTGTAAGCTTATGGAGTCCAACATGACCATATCATGAAGTTTGGTATGGGTTTGCCCGGTTAATTTTGCATTTCTGTCGTTTAAAATTGTTTAAAAAGAGGTTTAATTTTGTCAAAGAAGTGCAAAATAGCCAGGAAAACCATAGTAACCTGTAACGTGCACAGCAACATGGACTCCGTTCTGTTAAATCCAGTGGCGTAAGTTTGTGCCAGAAATTGGGGGGATGGGATTGTGGAGGGGATGACTTGCCTGGCCATGAAATTTGAAAATCGGGGCCGGGTGACAACATGTGACTATAGTGGTCGATGTTTATGATATTGATGTACATCTGTAATGTTTTTTGAATGGCATATTTCTGGCTTTTTAAAATTGTTTTCCTTTTTGAGTGATATTGAATGCATTTTAGTCACATGAAGTTTGAAAAATCCTTTACAATCCGCTTTACTTTTTTTGTTCACCACAAAAAAGTCCATTCAAAAGCCCATCCCCACACCATAAAAAGTATGAAGGATATATACCCCCTCCGCACCCCCAGATTTACGCCCATGGTTAAATCATGTGTGACACAACTTATAGAAGTCCAGGATGAGTGGACAAGCATTATTGAGGAGGAGGTGTTGTTGATGTAGTCTACATGTACATATATCTCGATTTTCTCGAGGCATTGGACTCTATTCCGCACTTTTTAATGAGTTGAGAGCTCATTGCATTGTGGAAACCTGTTAAATTGGACTCAAAGATTCCCTGCAGTCAGCAGGCGGTGTGATGGTTAATGGAAACAAATCTACATGGACAGGTGTCATCGCGTCATTCCACAGCGCAGTGTGTTGGGACCGATTTTGTACATCGTCTACATCAATGACATACCAGACATATTGCAAGGACATGTAAAGATAGGCAAGTCCTACAGAAAGACCTGCAGAAATTGAAGTGGTGAAGTCCCGCAGAAAGACTTGGATAGCTTGAGCAAATGATCCGATAAAGGGCAACTCAGATTCAATGTTGGCAAATATGGGACCATGCATTATGGGAGGCAGGATTCTATAAGCGCTTATAGCATTAGAGGAGGAGGGTTAAGAACAGAGAGGCAGCTCGCAAAGAGAAGGAAAGTAACAAGTGTGTGGCGGTAGTATGGTAACAAATCCAGTAGTCAAGGGAACCTTCGACCAGAGATCTTGAAGTCACCCTATAAAAACACTTTTTGGCCACATTTGGAGAGTGCCTATTGTGTATGGAGCCCAAAGGGACATAACAAAGAACAAAGGATAGCCACTCAGACGCTTCCACCACTATTGCGATCGATCTTCCACGAGACCCATCTGCAATGGCTTAACTTGCCAACCCTTTCTTACAGACGCCTCCAGAGAGATTATGATCCACGTGTACACAACCATGTATGGCCTTAAATGACATGAACAAGAACACACTGTTCAAAACGAAAGAGCTGGAGAGCAATATATATGAGGACATAGTACGAGGATTGATAAGGAACTTCATGCACATCTAAACATCCGCCAATATGGCTTCACCTACCGTGATGTCGACGATGGTACAGATTCCCGATAACAGATTCCCAATATCATAGGTGAATGGTTATCGTGAAACCAGAATTCAGCCAGTTCAGTTACAGATGCAGCAGGAGCAAATAGTGTCGTTTCCACCTCAAACGACACTTTTAGCCACCTACTGTTCATCAGCAATTGAACCAGTGCAGTAAAGCATTTGAAAAGTTTAGGTGGGCATTACAAGACACTGTCCTAGGAGCCCGAGAGGACAGGTAAATACAGACATACGAGTGAATACAACATGTAACAAAAGCAAACTTTTTTTGTATCATGTAAAATTATTTTGGGGTTATTTAGAGATACTATGGAAATGAAATATTAATTTCATTTCCAAAAGAATGGCAGCTCGACCTTAGATGAATGCATCAAAAGATGATATCATTATTTCCCCACTGCTTTTTGCATATAAAAAGAATTTTGATCGACTTTCAATGTGAAAAGGCTAGGCATCTTTTGACCTGTATTCGTATGGCAGAAAACATGACTGTAATAATAGGTCACAAAGGAGAAATATTAGATACCAGACCACGGCAACACAAAATTCAAGTTACATTTTGCTGCCTTCATTTTGCAAAACAGTCTTTTCCCTATACGCAGGCCTCTGATGACCGTACGATGGATCCCCCAACATGCCACACACAACTGACTCTTCCTCATTAGATGTACATGATGCATTGGTCTACAAAGTTAATAGGCCTGAGGATAGGTATCAGTGGTGAATACATTTTGTTTCTGCATTTTAAGCAAAAAGGAAGAAATGCATTTACCTAAAACTTAACATTTTAAATTGGCAGTACATACTAATTGAATGTAAAATGAACATTAAATATTTCCACACGTCATTTGCCTGCTTTACCTGATTAAATTTGAAGAAAATGCAATATTTTGAAAGTTGTATGACTTTCAAAAATATAGGGTCATATACCGATCCTTACTTTTTCAACTCTATGCCAAAACCCCCTTATTACGATGGATCATATTAATTTATTATATTCCTCTGACATAAAGATGTAACTATGCCCCCGACGAGC